TAAGCTTATGCAGGAAAAGTTCATTTGTAACACAATACAGAAGAACATTTTGACTAACTTAGAGTTGCTTTTGTGACGTGGATGGCGAGCTCACCAAGAAGGCACGATGGAGATCTGTCATCGAACCTCAGGCGACATCGAAGACCAAATCTGATGTTCTAGGATTTTCCCATCTTGCAAGGTCTCTAGATCTGTTTTCAAGGTCATCTTAACTAACCAAAAATATGCATCATCTATATAAGCATAAGCTTATGCAGGAAAAGTTCATTTGTAACACAATACAGAAGAACATTTTGACTAACTTAGAGTTGCTTTTGTGACTTGGATGGCAAGAGCTCACCAAGAAGGCGCGATGGAGACTGTCATCGAACCTCAGGCGACATCGAAGACCAGATCTGATGTTCTAGGATTTTCCCATCTCGCAAGGTCTCTAGATATGTTTTCAAGGACATCGTCGTCCTTGACTGTGAATATGGCGTCGATGGCGGCTGGTGATGACTGATGCGAAGAACAATGGCGTTGACGGCGTCGCTGCGTCGATGGCTGGTAGGTACGTATGAGGAGTAGAAAGGTGAGAGATGGAGTGTTTCAGATAGCTCAGGAGGGTTTCAAGAAGAGAGGAGCTCAGGAGGTTTCAAGGAGGGAGAGATAAAGTTTTCAGAGACGGGGGAAAATCTGAAAATTTATCGAGCGCGAATTCACTTAAGTGGACTTTTTTTAGGGTTTTTTAAAAGACAACACTTGTTAATGAGAGATAAGGTTTTCAAAGACGAGGGAAATTTTGAAAATTTGTCGATCGCGAATTCATTTAAGCAGCCTTTTTTTAGCGTGTTTTAAAAGACGACGCTTTTTATAAAAAAAAACCGTCATCTTTACATATAATAGACGACCATTTTAAAAAAAAAACCATCATCTTTACTTCATAATAGACGACCCTTTTTATAAATAAAAAAACCGTTGTCTTTACTTCATAATAGACGACCATTTTTATAAAAAAAAAAACCGTCGTCTTTACATATAATAGACGACCCTTTTTATATGAAAAGGGTCGTCTTTACTTCATAATAGACGACCCTTTTCATCTAAAAAGGGTCGTCTTTACTTCATAATAGACGACCATATTTATAAAAAAAACCATCGTCTTTACTTCATAATAGACGACCCTTTTTATAAAAAAAAACCGTCGTCTTTACTTCATAATAGACGACCCTTTTCATAAAAAAAACGGTCATCTTTACATATAATAGACGACTCTTTTAAATAAAAAAAACTGTCATCTTTACTTATAATAGACGGCAGTTCTTTAAAAAAACCGTCATCGTTACATATAATAGACGACAGTTCTTTCAAAACAACCATGTCTTTACCAAAAAAAGGACACTTGATTTTTAAAAGACGACGCTTGTCATACCTGCTGTCGTTGTTTTTTGGTCAGATTTTAACTCTGAAGAAAAGCTTTTTAATAAGACGACGCTTTTTTATTTGTGTGCGTCGTTATAAAAAAAAAATCAATAGTACCTCCGTTTTTTAGTTGTTTAAGTCACTTATCCATGACGGTTTTTTGTTACCTTCGTCTTTTTTAAAACAACGACGGTTTTTTGTTCTACCGTCGTCTTTTTCTGGTCGTCTTTTTCACTTTTTGTAGTAGTGTCAGTTGAATAAGAAACCTTGAGCTTTTCTCAAGTCTCCTAGTAATGGGTTCATGTATAACTTCATGCTCATTTGAAATTAAGTTTATGCATATATTGTTCTTTAAGTACAAAAGCTTATTTTAATTTTTCTTTTAGACCAAGCAGAATGATTTTATGAACAACAAGTAAGTTAACAAACAATTTTTACAATTACATAAGAGGCAAAACAGACAATCAAATAAATCTATTATACAATTGACTAGAAAAAAAAAGATTCAAAATCATCAAAGGGAACAAAGAAAAGGAACAAAACAAGCAGATTCAAACATGGAAAGGATTTTGCAACTTGCACAAGCATGAAGCGAAATACACCAAATAACAAATCTACGAACAATGAGTAAGTTAACAAACAAAACAACAGAACGAACCTATCGCATTCACATGAAACAAAACCCCTCGGAAAATTTACCCATGGTCCATGAAAATCACGCACGTGTCTTAAACCAGTAAACTCTCTCACACAATCCTTTTTTTTTTTGGTACAACCGATAGTCTAAACTCACACACACAACTAATATCCCATTGGGGGTTTGAACCTGAGACCTCTAGTCTACAAGTCAATGTCCTTTTCCACTGGGCTAAACCCTGTTTGCAAACTTAAACACAATCTTAAGAGACCAAATTAAGTGTCTAAACAAGCAACTTCACAAGCTGATTCCAGAATATGAAAAATTCAGCCTACAGGTGTGCCCATACCATGTGCACGTATGTATATACGTACATATTAAGATTAAGACCCGGGTCTATGTAGCTGCACCTCCTTGTGCCCAGTAATTACCGGTGGTTCAGCTCAAATACATTATACATCATACATGCATGTATTGAGAAAAAATTCCAATACATAAATTACCGGTGGTTCAGCTTAGCACATGAACTTCGACTCGAACTCATTAAACTCAGCTCATTTTTTCAGCTTCTGACCCACTACAAACAAAAAATAAGCAGACCCAGTAAACAAAAGAGTGAGATAAACAAAACCCATCAACAAAATGGAGTTCAACTTGAAACAAAACGTCCCCTTGACAATAAAAAACGTAGAGGTTACCAGTGCTGTGCAGAGGAGGGAGGGCAAGAAGAGGCGATAATTGTGCAGACAAGTCAAGGGCAACTGTAGCGGTGAGGAAATTGGTTCAGCACAAGTGGGTCGACTTTGAAGCGGAGCAACGAGTCTATTAGAGCATGTCCACCCATGAAGGCTAAGGCAAGGCTAAGGCAAGGCAAGGGCTGTCACTATTCACATGAATAGTGCCAGCCTTGCCTTAGTTGGTTCCACCCTTGGAAGGCTAGGGCAAGGGCAAATACTATTTATATGAGATATGAATAGATGAATTTGTATAGAGTTTTTGGTGTGGGAAATAAAGAATATGCCTAGGTATTTATTTAAAAAAAATTCTTGAATTTTTGGTTTTTTTTTTCCTTTTTTTTCCATTTTTTTTCAAATTTTTTTGGTTGCTGACGTCATTATGACGTCAGCATTGCATCATCCTGCCCAGGTAGCAGCTCGAGCTGAATTTTCCTGTGGGCTTGCCTGGGCTCATGGGACCCAGCTCTTGCCCGGGCTGGATTTCCTGCGCTAGAGGGGGAAATGGGCTGGCGGGGGGCCTTTTGCCCAGGCAGGGCTCCTACGCTGGAGGTGCTCTTAGATGTGGGGGGAAGAGTGGGAATTGGATTTGAAGAAGAGAGAACGGAAGCTCTCTCTCTCTCTCTGCATTTTTAGGTTCTCACCCGTTGGCAATGAGCAAAGTAACGGGTTACAATTTTTGTGTGTATTAATAACGGTCTAAATTTATTTAGTTGAGCCTTGTATATGGCCTTTAAGTGGGGTTATATATCTTAACCGTTAGAACGGTAAGAGATAGTAACTCACTCAAGGATTCTTATTCGTTAGTTATTTATTTGTGGATTCTACACATTAATAAGCGGGCTAGATTCTTTTTGGTGGATTAATGTGTGATTTTGCAATAACTCATTGGGCTCATTTCTTTCCTTCTGCTTTTGGGCTTTGACCCACAATTCTACCATTAAATAAAAAAATTAAAAATAAAAAGCAAAAAAGTCACGCATATAATTTGATATCATTTGCAATTTAATGACACATCAAACTTTCGTCCAATTTAAACTAGGACCCTAATCGAATTTAACCTCCCGAACTAAAAACCACATTTTCCTTGAGACATTTTCTAAATAGATGGATTCTTGCATCTTTAAGCATAAGAATATAATGCTCCGTTTGGATGAAGGAATTGCAAATTACATAGAACTCTAAAATGACGAATTTTAGATTTTCGTCATTTCAATTTCTAGCAATTGAAAATTTCATTGTTTGGATTTATGTATGTCTGTCGAATTTTGTAAATGACAGAAATTGAAATTTTCAATGCTTGGATAGCTCATGTAAATTGTAAATAACAGAAATTAAATATTTCAATATCTTGGTCTTTCTTCCGCTAACACTGTTACCAAAATGTGAGTTCAATCAAGTGCCCCAAGACAATTCTAAACATGAAATATAAAACAGAAAAAGTATGAAACTTAAGATAACTAGTTGAAAAATAAAATAAAAATCTTTTTTTTTTTTCTAGTTATATAAGTACCTCAAACCATTGACATTTGCTTCTTTCAGAACTCCCAATAGTACTTGGCTGGAATTTTACATATTCTTCACTAATTCTTATCATTGCATATAAGACTCTGTTAAATTGCCAACTAATTGTTTCGATTGAACGGTAATAGTCAAAACCAATGACTCTATATTTCAAGTTGTGAGCAATTATTTTCAACAATATTGCTATAGATTCTTTAATTGAAATATTTCTTGTTCGAACCAACACACCATTTTCTTCTAAAATTCTACATAACTTTTTTAATGCACATTTGCTAATTCAGAATAGATCAATACAATCAACTTCTTTTCCATTGTCATTTAATAAATTCTACGCTTAAATTGCCAAACAAGGGAATTGTCAATTTCTCCTCTCAAATTCTTAACTTTTAGCTAAATTCCAAGTTATTTTCCCTCATCCAAACGGAGGTAATAGACAATGTGCTATTCATTTGCAGAACACTCCTTTCTCTTTTTCTTTATATTGTATGCAGTCCCATCTCTCTAATCATAGAGATATTGGACCACATGTAGAAGAAGTGGAATTAGATATTGCAGGAGATGTTTTTTCATGAAGTGAGTTACTCTGCATTTGTCTACGAATATTACAGTTACTTAATAATATTTAAAATAAAAATAGAAATTCTAATTATTTGTTAAATTGCAATTAACATTTAATCAAATTCAACCTTTTACTTTAACTCCAAGGTAACATTAACTCTCCATTCTCTACTATTTTGTAGGACAAATGTTGACAAAAAAATAACCAGTATAATCATCGCAAGTAAAAGGAGAAGGAATGTGTCTCCCCTCGTGGCTCGGGCAAGTAGAAGGCCAATGTTCACCTTGCTTCCCACATATTGAACAATCCTTGAGAATTGCTTGTCCTTCGCTTTGACCACAACTGGCACAACAGGAGCCTCTAAAGAGGCATCCGCAAATCTTACAAATTACCTCGCAACCACAGCCAAGAGTTGCATTCTTTGGGAGATGATATCTGTAAGGGCATAGTGGTGTATAGTGTTTACCTACCTTTAAACAATACTTACATTCACCTGTGTACAATTTGTAGATCCATTGTTAAATACAACAAAAGTAATAAAATAATCTTTTATTATTTATTTATTTTTAAAAGACAATGAATGAAGATGATAAAACCAAAAAAATCAGTATAGTGAGCACATGACATAGAATAATAACAAATACATAGATTTTATGTCATAAGAGAAGCTGCAGATAAATATATGTAAATATAGAAGCTGCATATACTTTTTTTCTTTTTTGTCTCTAAAATCAAAAGCATACCAATAGGATTAGCAAGGAGGAGGAAGGCTATCTAATTTTATTTTTCTTCTTTTTCTCTCTAAAATCAAACAGTCTATGGGGTCTAACCTAGTGTAAACTACAAGAAGCTACATTGACTTGCAGATTCGAACCCTATGGGATCATGGTAGTGTGTGTTAGAAACTCACCTCTCCTTTATAGTTTAGATTATCTCTTATATTTAAAATAAAATAAAATAAAGTCAAAAGCATACCAATTTCGGCCATTAGTTCTTCAGTCGTTGGATCTTCAGCCGTTAGTTCTTCAGTCTTTGGTTCTTCATCCATTAGTTCTTCAGTCTTTGGTTCTTCATCCATTAGTTCTTCAGTCTTTGGTTCTTCATCTTTGCTACCTGTTTGCATGCAATTACATTGTTAAATAAAAAAAACTTAAAAATAGAAAACGAATGGGTGATGATGCCAAAGCTATTTTCAACATGACATAGAATAACAAAAAATACATAAATATTTTGTCATAAAATAGAGAAGCTGCAACGCATTTTTTTTTCTTTCTTGTCTCTAAATAAAAAAAGCATGCCAACAGGACTAGGGCCTAGTTTGGGATTGCTGTCACTTTTAAAAAAAGTTGTTTATGCTGTGCTTTGAAAATAATTAGCTATAAAGTAAAGCAACTCCATGTTTGGTAAACAATATTTTTAAAGTGCTGTTAGTACAAAATGCAATATAAAAAACGTTTGGTAAATTTTAATATCAAATTGTTGTAACTGTGAATAATGACTAAAATAGACATGATGTTAAAAGTGTTATGTACTAATCATGTGGTAGTTGTAGTGATGGAGTGGAGGTGGTGGTGGTGATGAAGGTGGAGTTGGTGGTGGTGGGGATGGCGGTTGTGGAGGTGGTGGTGGTGGCAGTGGCAGCATGGTGGTGGTGGTGGGGACGGTGGTAGTGGTGGAGGAGGTGGTGGAGGTGGTGGTGATGTTGGTTGTGGAGATGGTGGTGGATTTGGAGGTTGTGGAGGAGGTGGTGGTTGTGGTGGTGGTGGTGGAGGAGGTGGTGGAGGTGGTGGTGATGTTGGTTGTGGAGATGGTGGTGGATTTGGAGGTTGTGGAGGAGGTGGTGGTTGTGGTGGTGGTGGTGGAGGAGGTGGTGGAGGTGGTGGTGGCAGAGGATGAGGAGGATGAGGATGTGGTGGTGGTGGTGGCGATGGTTGTGGAGGTAGTGAATATGTGGTGGTGCAAGTGGTGGAGTTGGATGTGGAAGTGGAGGTGGTGTCATTTTTTAAAATGAATTATGGTATTTTGGGAATTAAAAAAATTCATTAAATGTTCATCTCTGTTTCTTTTGAAAGCAGCTTTGAAAAGCAACCCAGAGCCTGCTTTTAAAAGCTGCTGTCAAAAGGCCATTGCTTTTAAAATAATCGGGATATTTTCTTTTTACCAAACACGTTAAACTGCTTAACTTTAAAGTAAAGCAGGTTTTTGGCAAAAAAAAGCAATCCCAAACGAGGCCTAGGAAAGAGGGGGCCATCTAATCTTTTTTTTTTCCTTCTTTTTGTCTCTAAAATCGGTAGGCCAACGAGATCTAGAAAGGGCCTTAACTCCCAATGACACCCTATTAATGTGTTTGAGAAACTCACCTCTAGGACTAGGAGGGCCCCAGTGCAGAGAAAAATAAGTCTCAAGGTCTTCATCCAATATTGTAGTCTTTGGTTCTTCAACTTTGCTATCTGTTTGCATACAATTACATTGTTAAATACAACAAAAAAAGAAGAGAAAAGAATGCGTGATGATGGAAGGAATGGCTATGATCCCATTAATAAATAAAAATATTATTAAATATTGGGTATCCATCATGCACACACCAAAATAAATTGGCTGGAAAAGATGAAATTGATTCAAAATTGCTGGATAATATATATCCTCTAATTACACCAACAAAAGTAAAATAAAAACAACAATTTCTTTTTTCCAAACCACACAAAGCCCAAGCAAATTCCAGATAATCTTCCTTACCAACTCTAAAAACAAAAATAAAGCATACCAGGAACACTAGGATATGAGGTTAAAAAAGATACTTTTTCATACACAAAAGCTGAGGCGTAAAATTTAAAGCCCAAGTAATTAAATTACAAATAGTCTGGGTCACCCTTGAATTAAAAGAAAAAGGAAAAGCATACCGATTATTGGCGTATTGTAGTTGGAGGGGACCATAACTGGCGAGAAAAGGTCCTTTCCGCCGCCGTCCTTATCGAGCACCTCCGACTGGGAATCCAATTTCAGGCACTCCAAAGATGTGACGTCGTGGTCCATAGCTGTGTATTGTAGAGCTTGGTATCTGGCTTTACGGTTGTGAGAGAAAAAAACGATGGGTGGTTTGGCTTTAGGGTTACTTATTATATGAGTAATGTTATTTAGACACACAACATTGACCACTTTAGCTGACCACCTTATGTGGCAACTGATGTATTATGCCATGTCAATTAATGAATGTTGCCATGAGTCCACTTACTAGGAACGCTAGGGTTGTGAACCACAACTCTTTTTCAACCGACCATATTAATCAATATTATTTTCTTCCTTTTCAACCTTGATTCAATAATAAATTATCATTAAAATAATAATAATAGAGCATGCAACTTTTGGCTTCTCTCTCATCCTTGTCGTGATGTTTCCCTAAATCCTCCGCTTGGAGCCCCTGCCTGCCTTTTGGATATGTAAAGTTGGATCTTGACCAAAAATAGGTTTGCTTGATGGATCCATTTGACTTGTAAGAACATCACATTTGTTTGCTCATTGTGTACGGGATAGGTAATAGGTACATTACCTATCCCATTGTTTTCCTTTTTGTAATACGTTATTTACAACAACAAAAAAGTAAGTTATATATATAACACAGGTACACTATTTATAAAATTATAAAGACGTACATTATTTATAAAATAAAAAAGATACATTACTTATTTACAAAAAAAATAGGTACATTATTTATAAGTAATATAGACATTATACATAGGGATTGCAGAAATCCTCGCGGGGATGGGTCCCTATTGGGTCCCCGACCCTAACGGGGGTAGATTTCGGGGCATAACGGGTATTGCCTACAAGGATCCTCGAACTTGAAAAATCCCCGATGGGTATGGGGCTGGTATGGTATTAGCGTCCCCGTCCCCAAACCCGACCCAAAAATATATATGTTTATATTTAAATAAATATATAATTATAATATTTATGTTTAACCCTAAGTTAGCCTCCCTTTCCTAATTCTTCATAATCTTTCTGGTCCCCAGCCACACCTATCTCCCCACTCCATCTGCTCCAGAACTGTTCAGAAGATAAATGGGTTGTTAAAAAGGGTCATGTCAGTTTCTTGGTATTCTGGTTTGCAATCATGCTTGCAGAACTGTTCAAAGTTCGCTAGTTGTGGCACCAAAAGCTGAGCATGATGACAACACCTTGGATATGCTCCTAGTTCATGGAAGTGGGCGGTTAAGTCTATTGAGATTTTTCATGTTGATGCAGATGGGTCACTGCCATATGTGGAAAAACCTATATAAATTTGATTAGAAGCAGAACTCATGCAGAACTCATGTGTGAGTGGTTTGTCAATATTCTCTCAAAAAGCTCGTCCTTTTGGCGGAAAAAAATTTATATTGCTGGATAAAAAAGAAGTTGATAAAGCTCATTGGTTTGTACTCAACAATTGTGATGAGATCCAACAATATCTCAAGTGAGTGAAATAAATTTAGTTTTTTTCAATTATTTTGTATGAGTAAAATTAAATAATATTAATGATTTAATTTCTACATCTAGTGAATATAGAGAGGAGTTGCAAGAAACAAGTGCTACCAACTTACAACAACAACTAGAACAAGGATTCCCGCAGTGGTTTGAAAACCGAGTAAGTTATCTATGAGATACGGATGTTTAGCAAGTTAAGTGGTTCATTATTTTCCAAAGAAGTAATTAGCTTACATTTTTTTTAATCATATGTAGATGACGAATTTGCACTGCACTCGGCTGTTGGAAGCCACAAGTCAATTGTATTACCTTTCATGCAAACCTGACGTTCGTGTCCATACATACACTGGTTGTATCGTTAATGGAGTTCGATTTCACACGAAAGATGTTGATGACCATCGTACTACACAAAATAGTGGAATATTTGTTCCCGGTGAACATGGTGGTAGAAGTCATAATTATTATGGTGTTTTATTAAGTGTGGTAGAATTAACTTATATCAATCTCAATAAAGTCTTTCTATTCAAATGTAAGTGGTTCAACACAGACTCAAAGCACAAAGACCCAAAAAGGAGGCGGATACGATATGATTATCATCTAACAAGCATTAATGTAAGTTCTACATGGTATGAAAATGATCCATATATACTTGCTACTCAAGCGCAACAAGTGTTTTATCTTGATGATTATAAGCTAGGAGCTAATTGGAAAGTCATACAAAGGGTGGAGTGTAGAAATGTGTGGGATGTTGCGTCGATACAGCTGCACCAAAATGGATTCAGTTGCATCCTCAACTTGTGATACTCGCAAGTGCACGAACCGTTGGTAGTTTAGCGTATGTAAGTGCGAGGTCGATTCCACAGGGATTGGTGATTGAATGATCCAATTTAGTTTCCCTACACAAAATAGAAACAAAAACAAAGAACATGAAAGAAGGAAGAAAATAAGAAAGTAACTCAAGCAAATAAATTCCCAAGTTCAATTAGATTAATGGATTGGTTCTAGCTAAAGTATGATTAAGCCATGGTGTGTGGTCATAACCTTGTGTTCCTAATTCCCTAATTTGATCATTTGTTGTCTAACCTAAAATNNNNTCAAGTGAGTGAAATAAATTTAGTTTTTTTCAATTATTTTGTATGAGTAAAATTAAATAATATTAATGATTTAATTTCTACATCTAGTGAATATAGAGAGGAGTTGCAAGAAACAAGTGCTACCAACTTACAACAACAACTAGAACAAGGATTCCCGCAGTGGTTTGAAAACCGAGTAAGTTATCTATGAGATACGGATGTTTAGCAAGTTAAGTGGTTCATTATTTTCCAAAGAAGTAATTAGCTTATATTTTTTTAATCATATGTAGATGACGAATTTGCACTGCACTCGGCTGTTGGAAGCCACAAGTCAATTGTATTACCTTTCATGCAGACCTGACGTTCGTGTCCATACATACACTGGTTGTATAGTTAATGGAGTTCGATTTCACACGAAAGATGTTGATGACCATCGTACTACACAAAATAGTGGAATATTTGTTCCCGGTGAACATGGTGGTAGAAGTCATAATTATTATGGTGTTTTATTAAGTGTGGTAGAATTAACTTATATCAATCTCAATAAAGTCTTTCTATTCAAATGTAAGTGGTTCAACACAGACTCAAAGCACAAAGACCCAAAAAGGAGGCGGATACGATATGATTATCATCTAACAAGCATTAATGTAAGTTCTACATGGTATGAAAATGATCCATATATACTTGCTACTCAAGCGCAACAAGTGTTTTATCTTGATGATTATAAGCTAGGAGCTAATTGGAAAGTCATACAAAAGGTGGAGTGTAGAAATGTGTGGGACATCCCTGAAATAGATGTAAATGAAGAATTAGATGATGATAACAATCCTATGAGTACCAATGATGCTTACCAAGAGGAAGAGTTAGCTGAATTTCAGTGGTATGGGCTTGATGAAGATCTAGAAAATCCACAGTTGAGAGTAGATATTGAGCCTAATGATGTGTCAAATACTTTGAACAATGATGAGATGAATGAAGATGATCTTGATGAGTTTACATGTGAGGATATGGAAGAAGATGTTGATGATGTTGATGTGGAAGATATATTTCTAACTGATGTTGATGACAATGAAGAAGATGATACCTTGGCTTATAACGGCGACAATGCAGAATTATTTCTAAGCAACATCCCTGAAATAGATGTAAATGAAGAATTAGATGATGATAACAATCCTGTGAGTACCAATGATGCTTACCAAGAGGAAGAGTTAGCTAAATTTCAGTGGTATGGGCTTGATGAAGATCTAGAAAATCCACAGTTGAGAGTAGATATTGAGCCTAATGATGTGTCAAATACTTTGAACAATGATGAGATGAATGAAGATGATCTTGATGAGCTTACATGTGAGGATACAGAAGAAGATGTTGATGATGTTGATGTGGAAGATATATTTCTAACTGATGTTGATGACAATGAAGAAGATGATACCTTGGCTTATAACGGCGACAATGCAGAATTATTTCTAAGCAATGATGATGATGATGACAACGACAGTGATTAACATTTCATGGTTACTTGTAATATCTTATTTTTCTTTTTCTTTTTGAACTAATGATGTACTAGTATGCTTTGATTTTGCATTTGCATATAGGTGTGGTATATGCATAGTTTTTGTTTTGTACCTTATTGATAATACATCTACTTATATAAGTAGGTCTCACATCAATCAATTATGTACAATCAATGTGGAACAAAAATTATGTGATGCCATTAGTTTCATAAGTTTTTCCTGTACCTTCTATGTTTTCTTAGTATTATACATATGAGGGGTAAGGTTCATTATGTCCCCCCCTGACTAGATGTATATCTTTTGTTTTCTCTATTTATAAAATATGACTCGTACCGTCGAGCTTTCTCAAAGAAAGATGTTGATGGACTTTTTTTTTAAATTTTTGTTCCGATCTAATTTTGAACATGTTTTATTGAACTTATTATAGGTTATCTATATGGCTAGAAAGACAAAACGTCATCTTGTGCAAGTAAGAAATGAGTCACCGTCTGATTTAAATCCCCAAATTGAACCTAATGCAATCTTGACATCAGCCAGTATAGAAGAGAGTACTACTGGTAAGAAGCTACAACATAGTTATATGTATTCTTTTATTGTTATTCAATGTATAATGTCATTTTCTTTCCTAGCAATCTGGTTATATATATATATATATATATGTATAAGAATTTGTATATGTTTAGATGTAATTAATCATTCACGTTAATATTTAATAATTTATATATACAAATATGATATCTTGGTTTGGGCTGTGATAATGTAGGTGCAAACAAAAGAGTCAGATCAATAACACGAGGACTTAATTCTGATAAAGTGCAAAACCAACTTGGTACCAAAATACCAATCACTATAACTGAACTAGATGGTGCTCCAACGGGTCCATATTCATCCATGTTTGGGAACGATCTTGGCTTCATAATTCGCACATATGCACCACTGAATGTGGAGCAATGGAAGGACATTAACGAGAAGGATGTGGAGAAGCTGGTTGAAAGAGTAACAGTAAGATATAATTGGTTTTCATTTACTAAATTTGATACTTATATAATACAAACAGAAAATAACATTTATAAATTGAAATGTACTACTGGTAAGAAGCTACAACATAGTTATATGTATTCTTTTATTGTTATTCAATGCATAATGTCATTTTCTTTCCTAGCAATCTGGTTATATGTATAAGAATTTGTATATGTTTAGATGTAATTAGTCATTCACGTTAATAATTAATAATTTATATATACAAATATGATATCTTGGTTTGGGCTGTGATAATGTAGGTGCAAACAAAAGAGTCAGATCAAAAACACGAGGAGTTAATTCTGATAAAGTACAAATCCAACTTGGTACCAAAATACCAATCACTATAACTGAATCGGATGGTGCTCCAACGGGTCCATATTCATCCATGTTTGGGAACGATCTTGGCTTCACAATTCGCACATATGCACCACTGAATGTGGAGCAATGGAAGGACATTAACGAGAAGAATGTGGAGAAGCTGGTTGAAAGAGTAACAGTAAGATATAACATGGTTTTCATTTACTGAATTTGATACTTATATAATACAAATAGAAAATAACATTTATAAACTGAAATTGGTTCATGCAGAGTAAGTACGACATTGATATGTCTCTGCCTCATGTTCATAGATTTGTTATGACGAAGTTTCAGAAAAGGTATTGTGATTTTCGACACAAGCTGAAAGAGTATTTCAATAAGTACTCAACTATGGAAGAGGCACAAAAAAACATACCTCCTGAAGTATCTACACAAGAGGAATGGAATTTCCTTTGTAAACATTTTTCTACTGCCAAGTTCCAGGTATTGCTTCAATTGGCTTTATGATTTTGTGGTGGCTGCTATATTGCTTGAACTTTATGAAAGTTGGAGAGTAGTAGAAATCACAAATAACATAGAATGGATAAATCCTACATTTCCATTAGTATGCTAAATGAAAATAGACGTCAATATTATTTTAAGATTTTGTTTGTTTCAGTTTTAGAAATTTTTGTGAGGTACTGATGTGAAGGATTCAGCAACTAGGTTGGAAGTAACCTCTCAATCTCACTTTCATACCACATATAATGCTTAGAATTTCTAGCTTAATATAATTATCTTGCCCGTGATTAAAATTGATGCAATGCAATCCATATTTTATTTCAATTCATATTTTTTTATTTATTTTCAGGAACGTTCGCAACAGAATGCTAAGAATAGGTCAGGTTTGACGTATAATCACAAAGGAGGATCAAAGTCATTCGTAGCTCATCAACATGAGATTGTAAGATACATATCTTCATTACTTTAGGCTTAATTGTATACAAATACTAAATTTTTTGTCAATGTGTTAGGCTACAAAAATTGGGGAGAAATTAGGTGCAATTGAACAGTTTGCAGAGTTGCATAAAAACGAGAAAAATGGTTGGGACATTGGAGCAAAATCTAAATGGGTAAGCTGATGCTTTTAATCATTGTTTTAGACTGAAAAGCTGCTGCTTCTATAGCCTTGTCTTGCTTCTTTTTTCTGTTCTCTCTGATGTGTTTGTTTCTGTTTCCTGTAAGTGGATTTCTTATCCACTTTTCTATGAGTTACTATTCTTTTATATTAAGTCATGTTGAAATAACAAGAGTTTTTATTGTGCTGCAAATATTTGTAGTCATATAAAAGAAAGACTATCTACTATGATAATTAGTAGCACTATCATATTTGTAGTCTTCAAACATTTGGGAATTAGTATCATGGTTGGAGCTATTGAATTGACATGCCATCGACTTAGCTTTCAACATTCATTTCCTTTATCATTATCTCTTCTTTCATTTCTTGATATTTGACACATATATACATATACATGTGATTTATAATGTTCATTCTATTTGTAGGAGGAGATGATTGCTATACGAGTTGAAACTTCAACATGTGATACTAAAACAATAACTGATGATGAAATTGTTGCCAAAGTTCTTGGTGTAAAATCAGGATATATTAAGGGATGTGGATTTGGGCCTCGACCCTCAGGATCTTTATCAAAAGCACATGTCTCTCAGCATAACAAAGAGCTCGAACAAATTGTTCAGAGCCAACAAGAAGACCTTGATCGTCAATGTGAACTTATCAAAGTAATGGAGGAGAAGCAAAAAAAATTTGAGGAGTTCATGGAGAAAATGAGCTCAGGCTTCACTTGATATATCAGTCAGTCATCTTTATCATGATGTTGTTTTGAATTATGATGACTAATGTTTTGAAGTATGACAGGCTAATGTTGTTTTGAATTATGGAGACTATAATGCTGTTTTCAATTATGATGCCAAATCTTTTGAATTCATGTTATGTTATGACATTGTTATAATGCATTTTATTGAAACGTGAACATTCCTCTCTATAAGCTTCTGCAATGGGGCTTCACGAGGAAACCTATTTCCTTACAGGAAAATATGTTCCTCGTTCATCACTTATCGTGAGAAATAAAATGACCTTTAGCGATGATAGAGTGCCTCGCTATAGAGGTTTGGCGAGGAAATAGTTACGTTGTCGCAGAAAGGATTCAGCGAGAAACATGAACATTCCTCTTTACAGGCTTCAACGCCGGGCTTTAGCGTCCATCCCACGAGGAAACCTATGTCCTCGCTGTAGAGATGTAGCGAGGAACTTGTGGTATTCGTCGCAATAAATTATCACTATTACCGACGATATTTTATCTTTAGAGACGAAATAGTTTCCTCGTTGTAGGATGTACAGGAAAATATTTTCCTCGTTCATCACTTATTGCGAGAAATTAAATGACCTTCAACGATGATAGAATTCCTCGCTATAGAGGTTTGGTGAGGAAATAGTTAAGTTGTCGCAGAAAGGATTCAGTGAGGAAACGTGAACATTCCTCTCTACAGGCTTCTATGACGGGGCTTCACCGTCGACCGGGCGAGGAACACGTTTTCCTCGCTGTAGAGATATAGCGAGGAACTGTTTGTGCCTGATAAATCTCGGCCATGAGCTGGCCGAAGGAGCCCTTTCTCTCGGCCCTGGCACTTGTTTGCAGAAGCTGAAACGCAACGTTTCGCCAGGGTATTTCGCCTTCCTAAAAATAAAAGAAGGAAATGCTAAGGCATGATCATCTCGGCCTCAAGCATAGGCCGAGGCCGAGGCCGAACAAATTTGCGGCCAAGGCATTAAAGGCAAATCATCACGTGACAGCAAGGTCCCAGGCTTCATTTAATGAAGTAGTGCCTATTTAATGCAGCAAAACCCATTGGCTACAAAGTAGCATTTAATGCATGAGGAAAGGTAGTGACTGAAGTCAGGATTTGGTGATGAAGATCAGAGTGATTAGATGTGGACATTCTCACAAGAATTCTGACAGCTTGAGATGTTGGTTCACCAGCTATCCAGGCCATAAATGCGTCTCCACGGCCAGAGGTTCAGAACCCACGATCGAGAGCGGCGGCCGAGATTCACCGGGATTTCTGGAGTCTCACCACCATACTTCACGATCCCAAATGTCGATTGGACTGCCCACTTGCACTAATCAGACTCCACTATGCGTAAATTCAGCCTCGATTACTCATCCAGGGATTCTTCCTATAAATACAAGACTCGAGCTACATTCAAAGGGTTCAACACCAAAACAAGTCTCCCACGGAGCAACTTATTTTTTCCCGCAATGCACTTTCAATATCTTTACTTGCTTTCCTAGGAGTAGTGTTAGATTGTAAGCAGAATCCATTCATCAATATATCATACGACCGTCGCTCCCTGAGCAGCGCGCCGGAGCACCGCCCAAAATCCACCACCAACGCCATCACTCGCCGGCCTTGTAGTTCAGGCCGTGAACCTAACAGCCGAGTCCAGTTCCTCTCTCGGCTACAATCGTTTGACCAGGAAGACAGATCAAATAGGCGCACCATTCATCCATCCAACACTCATCGAAACATCAACGCACGGTAAACCGTGCTGGCACGCCCGCGCACAACCGCACCGCACCCAAAAGCAAGAAACCCCCTTGTTAACGCACATCCCCTAGGCCCGGAACTCCAGGCCGTGAGATTTGCGCCGCAGACAGGAACTTGTGGTATTCGTCGCAATAAAATAAAACTATTACCGACGATATTGTTGTCTTTAGGGACGAAATAGTTTCCTCGTTGTATGATGTACAGGAAAATATGTTCCTCATTCATCACTTATCGCGACAAATAAAATGACCTTTAGCGATGATAGAGTGCCTCGCTATAGAGGTTTGGTGAGGAAATAGTTACGTTGTCGCAGAAAGGATTCAGCGAGAAACATGAACATTCCTCTCTATAGGCTTCTACGCCGGGGCTTTAGCGTCCATCCCACGAGGAAACCTATGTCCTCGCTGTAGAGATGTAGCGAGGAACTTGTGGTATTTATCGCCATAAATTATCACTATTACCGACGATATTTTATCTTTAGAGACGAAATAGTTTCCTCGTTGTAGAATGTACAGGAAAATATTTTCCTCGTTCATCACTTATTGCGAGAAATTAAATGACCTTCAACGATGATAGAGTTCCTCGCTATAGAGGTTTGGCGAGGAAATAGTTAAGTTGTCACAGAAAGGATTCAGTGAGGAAACGTGAACATTCCTCTCTACAGGCTTCTATGACGGGGCTTCACCGTCGACCAGGCGAGGAACACGTTTTCCTCGCTGTAGAGATATAGCGAGGAACTTGTGGTATTCGTCGCAATAAAATACAACTATTACCGACGATATTTTATCTTTAGGGACGAAATAGTTTCCTCGTTGTAGGATGTACAGGAAAATATGTTCCTCATTCATCACTTATCGCGACAAATAAAATGACCTTTAGCGATGATAGAGTGCCTC